TTTTCAATTTATACCCCCTTGATCTTTTTTTATTGTCATATTGCTGTAGCTAGAACTTCAAGTACAATATTGAAGAGGTATGGAGAGAGTGGACAGCCTTGTCTTGTTCCTGATTTTAGAGGAATTGTGTTGAGTTTCTTTCCATTTAGTTTGATGTTGGCTGTTGGTTTGCTGTATATAGCTTTTATTTTATTTATGTATGTTCCTTTTATCCCAGATCTCTCCAAGACCTTTATAATGAAGGGGTGTTAGATTTTCTTGAAGGCCTTTCCAGCATCTAGTGAAATGATTATATGATTTCTGTTTCTCAGCTTTTTTATATCATGTATTGAACCATCCCTGCATCCCTGGGATAAAGCCCACTTGATTATAATGGATGATTTTTCTGATGTGTTGTTGGATTAAATTTCCCAGTATTTTATTGAGTATTTTTGCCGCAATAATGATGTGGGGGTATTTGTCTGTAGTTGTCTTACTTTGTTGTGTCTTTGTGTGGCTTAGGTACCAAGGTAATTGTAGCCTCGCAAAAAGAGTTGTCAATGATCCTTCTGCTTCTATTGTGTGGAACAACTTAAGGAGTATTGGTATTAGCTGTTCAAATTCCTGGTAGAATTCTTCAGTTAAAATCATCTGACCCTGTTTTTTTTTTTTTTTTTTTTTTTGGTTGGGAGACTGATGATGTGATACATATCCAGAAAGTTGCCCATTTCCTTTAAATTTTTGAATTTTGTGGAGTATAGGTTTTCAAAGTATGATCTGAAGATTCTCTGGATTTCCTCAGTGTCTGTTGTTATGTACCCATTATCATTTCTGATTTTGTTAATTTGCCTGTTCTCTCTCTGCCTTTTGGCTAGTTTGGATAAAGGTTTGTCTATCTTGTTGATTTTCTAGAATAACAAACTTTTTGTTACATTGATTCTTTGTATTGTTTTCATTGTTTCTGCTTTATTAATTTCAGCCCTCAATTTGATTATTTCCTGGCATCTACTCCTCCTGGTGAGTTTGTTTCTTTTTGTTCTAGATGCTTCAGTTGTGCTGTTAATTCTCTAGCATGGCTATTTTCCAGTTTCTTCATGTGCTCACTTAGTGCTATGAACTTTCTTCTTATTACTGCCTTCAAGGTGTTCCATAAGTTTGGGTATGTTGTGTCTTCATTTTCATTGAATTCTAGGAAGTCTTTAATTTCTTTCTTTATTTCTTCCTTGACCCAGGAATGGTGCAATTGCACGTTGTTCAATTTCCATGAGTTTGTGTGGTTTCTGCAGTTTGTGTTGTTGTTGAATTCTAACTTTAAAGCATGGTGGTCTGATAATATACAGGGGGTTATTCCAATTTTTTTGTACCTGTTGAGGTTTGTTATGTTACCAAGTAGTTGAGTTTTGAGAAGGCTCCATGTGGTGTTGTAAAAAAGGTATATTCTTTTGCGTTTGGATGGAATGTCCTATAGATGTCTGTTAAACCCAATTGGGTCCTAACTTCTGTTACTTCTTTTGTTTCTTTGTTAAGTTTCTGTTTGGTGGTGGTCCTGTCTAGTAGTGAGAGTGGGATGTTGAAGTCCCCCACTATAAGTATGTGAGGTTTTATGTGTGATTTGAGTTTTAGTAATGTTTCTTTTATGAATGTCGATGTCTTTGTATTTGGGGCATAGATGTTCATGATAGAGATTTTCCTTTTCTCTTTTGATTGATTTTAGTTTTCAATGTAATTTGTTAGATATTAGAATAGCTACACCAGCTTGTTTCTTGGGTCCATTTGATTGGAAAATCTTATTCCAACCCTTTTCATCTGTCTTTGAAGTTGAGGTGTATGCAACAGAAGGATGGGTTCTGTCTTCATATCCATTCTGGTTAGCCTGTGTCTTTTTATAGGCGAGTTAAGACCATTAATATTGACAGAAATTAAGGACCTTTGAATGTTAGCTCATATTTGTTTTGGATTTTTTGTGTTGTTGGTATAGTATATGGATTTACTCTGCTTTTTCTTTTTTGGTAAAGTGGGATTATCCATTGCCTGTGTTTTTGTGAGTGTAGTTAACTTCCTTAGGTTAGAGTTTTCCTTCCAGTATTCTCTGTAGGGCTGGATTAGTGGATAAATATTGCTTGAATCTGGTTTTGTCATGGAATATCTTGTTTTCTCCATCTATAGTGATTGAAAGCTTTGCTGGATATAGTAGTCTGTGTTGACATCTGTGGTCTCTCAGTTTTTGTAGAATATCTATCTAGAATCTTCTGACTTTCAGAGTTTCTATGGAGAAGTCAGGTGTAATTCTAATAGGCTTGCCTTTATATGTTACTTGACTTTTTTCCTTTGCTGCTCTTAATATTATTTCTTTATTCTGTATGTTTTGTGTTTTGATTATTATGTGGTGAGGGGACTTTTTTGTGGTCCATTCTATTTGGTGTTCTTTAAGTTTCTTGTACTTTCATTGGCATGTCTTTCTTTAGGTTGGTAAAGTGTTCTTCTATGATTTTGTTGAATATATTTTCTGCATCTTTGAGTTGAATTACTTCACCTTCTATACCTTTTATTCTTAGGCTTGGTCTTTTCACGGTATCCCATATTTCCTGGATGTTTTCTGTTAGGGATTTGTTTGACTTAAGATACTCTTTGGTCAGATACCACCACGTGGCAGAGCATAAATAAGGAGTGGTGGTTAACTTAAAATGTAAAATGTAGGAGTAGTTAGTAATAAGCCTGAGCAATTGACCATGCATTTGAAAGTAATATTAAGTCTCAGTGTGTTTATTTGGGAGTTGCTGGTGGGATAGAAACTTCTGTTTATAGCCAATCAATTGCCTTTGTTAACAAATTTAGAGTATTGGTACCCAAGCAGTTTTTTGGTCCTTGTGTAAATTTCCTTGGAGATTAAAACATCCTGCAGGAAACTCCTTAAGCTGAAGATAAACAATTCAGAATAACTCCAGAAAGTCCTTGAAACTGACTAGATTCACTGGGCCCCTCCCTGCCATAAAAGCTGAGAGTCCCTCTTATAAGATTTGAGTCATGCTGCAAAGAAGACTGTCACCCCCACAGCTGAGTTGCAAAGACTCTGAGACCAGACCTGCTGTCTGCAAGAAGCAGAAACCAGTGGAGCTGCCTGGAAGAGGTCGAGACCAACTGAGGTGCCTGGAAAGGACACTCTCCAACCCTTTGAACTACCTGCAGGCTGTGCAATGTGCTCCAGGTTCCCAACTTTGTGAGCTGTCACTTGTGCTGGGGTGGACTTCAACAATGCAGCTGTCTTTGAGTCGTAACTGCTCCTGTAAATAACCCTTCACCCATATTCTTGCAAGTAACCTCAATAAAACTCATTGATTAACCAAATTAAAAAAAAGATACTCTTTGGTCGATGACTCTGTTTCTCCTAGTGTATCTTCAATGCCTGATATTCTATCTCTTGTGTTCTGTTTGTTTTGCTTGCATCTGTAGTTCCAGCTTTTCCATTTTTAGCATTCCCACTGTTTGTGTTTTCTTTATTGTCTCTATTTCAGTTTTCAGGTCTTGAACTGTTTGAATTGTTAACTTCATCTGTTTGATTGTTTTTTTCTTTGTATTCCTTGCTTTATTTAAGGGATTTGTTGATTTCTTGTATTTTTTGGTTTGTTTTTTCTTCCATTTCTTTAAGAGATTTTCTCATATCCTCTCATTTTCATAAAGTTGTTTTTAAGGTCATTCTCTTCTCCTTCATCTGCATTGGGATGTTCAGGTCTTGTTGGTGTAGAGTCCCTAGACTCTGGTGGCATCATATTGTTTTTTTCTGTTGTTGAATGTGTTTTTATATTGCTGTCTTCCTATCCTTTCTTTCATTGGGTGCAGCTGGGGTCTCTCCCTCTCCTGGTGGGTACGTGTCCAAGGTTATCTTCCAGTGGGTGCAAGCAGGCCCAATACCGTGGTGGATCTCAGGATGGGTGCAGGTATGTCTGAGACACTCCTTCTCCTGATGGGTGGAGGTGGGACTAGCACAGCAGTGTCAGCAGACTCTGGATTGCTTGGACCACTAGGGGTCAGTTGACCTGCCTTTAGTCCCCAGGCCAGGAGATCTCAAAGAGGGCCCTCTTGTTCTTCTTAATTGTTGCTATTGGTTGACAAAACTAATAAGGCTTCTAAGGAAAATATTCACTAGTCAAATGTGGTCTTCGGCATCAGTTTGTACCCCTCAGCCCTCATGACTCTGTTCTGTGAACGAAGTCATGAGGCCCATAACAGGTGTTTGGCTTCAGGATAGTATAGCTTAGCTATGTGACTTCACAAGAGGTTAATCTCCCTCTTTCCTTTACAGGTACCTGCAGGTCACTGTAAGGGATGCCTGGCTAGGTTGGTGGTGGTGATGGTGATAGTGGAGGTCGAGGTGATATCCAGGCTACAAGTCAGCTTTTCCAAGGCTACATGTCAACTTTGCTTGCCAGGCACAACCAAGAAGACCAAATGCATGCTTTGGCTTCCCTTGTGTTTTCTTTGATATAGGACATTACTTTTGATTGATTACCTTGCTTGTCTCTCCATCTTGTAATGTTTTTATTTTTTTGTTCAGAAAAAGTGAAAAAAATGTAAGTTTAAAATTCACAGTGATCGTTTAAATGATAATGGCCCCCAAAGGCTCATTTATTTGAGTGCTTATTCCTAGTTAGTGGAACTGTTTGACAAGGATTGGGAGGGGCAGCCATTTGGAAGAAGTGTTTCACTGGTAGTAGGCTTTGAGATTTTGAAAGATGGCTGCCATTTCCAGTGTGCTCTCTGCCAAGTACTTGTGAATAAGATGTAAGCCATCAGCTGTTGGTCTATTGCCATGGCTGCCCATCTGCTGCTATACTTCCTGACATGTGGTCATGGTCTTGAACCCTCTGGAATCCTGATCTCTAAATTAAATGCTTTCTTTTGCAGCCTCCTTGTTCATGGTGTTTTAGCACAAAAATAGAAAGGCAACCATCTTATTTAAAAAAATTCACTTTCCCAATATTTTCTCTGATATTAATTTCAATCTTTTTGATCATTTTGCACAGCTGATTTCTTATTTCTACAAGGAAGCTCGGTGAATCTGATCCATCTTTGATCAAGATTGACAGGATTTCCAACAACTGATCTTTTCTAGCAAACTTCAGTCCCATTATGTTAGAGCTGTCCTTTGGTGCTTCCAAGAGATTAGTTTCTGGTTCTGTGGATGCTCAAGTCCCTGTACAAAATGGCACAGAATATTAATGTCTCCCATATATGTCCTCCTATATAATTTAAATAATCTCTAAATTACATACCAAATGTGACACAAAATAAAATATTGAATGCTATACAAATGGTTGACATACTGTATTGTCTAGACGACCATGAGAAGAAATAGTCTATGCATGTTCAGTATAGTTGCATTTTAAAAAGTCTGATCTATGGCAGATAGACTCTGAAGATGCACACTCCAAAGATATGCATGAATAAACTTTTTGACTTTACTTTGGGGACATCCTCTAAGCCTATCCCTTTACGCCTGTTTTAGAAGGACCCAAAATTCACAGCTTTTTATGCTCACATAAGGACTAAATGGTAACAATCTAAAATGAACACACTTAGATTTTGAAATTAGTTTCTTTTTTAAATGTGTTTTTAATTGCTAAAGAATTTAGTGGGGGGAACAAACAAAATGGTTGGTTAGAAAGGTTCTCTCTTCAAACCAGTGAGCCAGGGAAAAATACCAACAGCAGTTGAACAAAATGCAGCACTCAATTGGATCAATTTGCCTTTGTTTCTCATTTGTCTTTCTTAAGCATACAATCAGTATGCCAAATATTGCTCCTATTTGGGCCAGCTGTTAAATAGAGATTGGCACTATTTTTTTAAACAATTGTTCAATATAACAAAGCTAGGTGTTTCTTTGTGTTTTGACAATGTGGAAATTGTCTTAAAAAAACTAGATGTTTGGAATTCCATGCAACTTTCTCTATCTATGGATTTCTTTCATGATCTTGGATGCTATTTGAATTATGCTTTAATTCTCTACATTTCTTTTTCTCCTGTCTTTTAATACTGTCCTTCCCACTTAGAAGGAACATGATCTTCTCTGTCTAAAAGTCTGTTTTCAAGTCGATTAAATGAGATTCCCTTGTCATAATTCTCCAAGCTTTGTTGGGAACAAAAACAAACAAAGAATAAAAGAAAAATAACTACAGCAAGCATTACTCCCAGCAGAGTGAGGGCCAATACAAGACACAAATTGAAAGTGAGACAGAGGGTGGCCAGGGCATACATACCAAGAGGTGACAAAATGTCACCATTTCACCCCCTAAAGCCCCTTTTCTGGAAACTGATACTGTGGTATAAACACCACCTGAAGTTTTAATGTTATATGCTAAGCATTGCTTTCTTGCTTACCAGAGTGGCTTGGCAAGTTCAGCTTTGTTTCTCATGGTCAGTCTGGGTGGTCCTGCATCAGGTCTAAAGCCAAGTGTGCTCCTTGGTTCCTCAGACTGGGGCCAGACCCAAGGGACAGTGGCTACCAGGGGCACATTTTTTCGATAGAGGGGTCAGCAACTCCTGGAGCTCTTATATAGAACTGGCATGTTGCCACTTTCTCTGAGGGCCTTCCTACCTTAATAGACTATGCTGAGCTACTCAGCCAAATCCAAGACCAGAGAGTATGAAGGAGAGGAAAACAGGCCTTCCCTATAGTGGGGCAGGGAATAAAAAAATGCATTGGGGAAGATGCAGGGGGCTGGGGGGAGGATTGTAAGAGCCGGAATACAAGGCTGCCTGCTGTGAAACAGTTTCTCATAAATAGGATCTGAACAATACCAATAGACATGCCAACATAGAAGGAGGAATTTTTCACAGGGTACCATGCCTAGACAAACAATTACAGGCAATTAATGACTACAGAGAGAGGGAGCATTAGCCTTTCTCAAGGATCAATCCCCTAATTGGTTATCGAATATAACCATCTCAGCCCTGAAACACAAAGAACAAAAACCAACCATGTATGCATGCACATATACATACATACATACATACATATATGTAATAATAATAATCCAAAAACCAGGTTACCAATGTTAGAGTGAGAGAGGGCATGGAAGGAGTTGGTGGGAGGGGACTTAAAAGGGACTGAATGGAGGAAGGGGAAGGGGGAAATGGTCTAAGGATATTGTAATTAATATTGTATAATAATAAAATTGAAAAAATAATGGAAGTTCTGTTTTGATTTGAAGCCATGGCTATATTTGTAACTTTTAAATTTATAAAATATGGTTGGAATCACATAGACAGAGAGAAATCTATCCTTATAAACAGCTAATCAGAGGCCCATGAACAATAACTACCCAATGATGTTTATTTATTGTTCAGTTGACAAGTGAGAGTTGTATATATTTGTTGTGAACAGCACAGCATTTTTAGTCTAATTTGTATTTATGAATGTTATACAACAATTACATTGAGGGAAGAAGCTATGCGAGGATAAATATTTCTTTAGAGCTAATGTTATTTTAAGACAAAAAGATAAAAAGGTATCTTGGTGGACCTTTCTTCAAAATTTATGTAGCATTGGGCTATCTCTAATCTCCTTGAAAATCATTTATGAGTGTGCTTAGAATTTCTGTGAAGCCATTCTGCTTGAATATCATGGCTTGATGTAAGCACATATTTTTAGGTGAGAACACTTAAAATCTATTCAATGAGCAATATAAAAGCATTCAATATGTGGCTGTTGCCTATAGTCTTTATACTGTAGAATGGAATTCATCTTATGAGTCCCATGTAACTGGATTTTTATAATCTTTCCTCATTAGTACTTCTCCCCTCCATCTCTAGTAACTTATAATCTGCCCTCTGATCCTCTGAATTTAGTTTGATGTCTTTTAGGTCTATTTATATTGTCACCAGTGGGAAGACTCTCATTTCAAAAGGCTGATTATTGTCCCATCAGGGATATGTACTGCATTTTCTTATTCTAGTAATTTATAGACAGCTGAATTAAACTTATTATTGTAGATTCTGATGTTAAAATATATGGGAAGGCAGATGTCTCATTGACATACTAACCTCATTTCCTTCAGTTGATGGCCAGTAGTGCGACTGAGGGATTGAGTGGTCTATGAACTACCCTGTTAAAAAGTGAAAATTAGTCAAGCTTGTAGGCATATGCCTTTAATACTAGCATTCAAGAGATAGAGGTAGGTAAATCCCTATAAGTTTGAGCTCAGGTTGGTATACAGAATGAGTTCCAGGGCAGCCAAGAGAACCAGAGAACCCTAAATCAATATATATATATGAAAAAAACCCTGAAAATTAATTTACTAATCTTCATGAAATTATATTATCATATCCAATAGCCTAAGCATGAACATGAAATTTGCCATTTCTTTTCAGCCTCTTTAATATTGTACTCTAGTCTGCTCAAGTAAATGAGTGACACTAAAGGCATCTATATTGTATTTTTCTTTCCACATATTTTCTCCTAAGAACATTTCATATTACTCTGAGTATAGAGATATATGAAATATATATATAGATATTGAACATGTACTACTAATATCATAAATTAATTTACTTTTTAAAGTTGGTATACATATATATATCTCATATATTAAAGATTAAAGTAAATTTGTCTACTAATGCTCTGGGTGTTTTGTTTATTCTTATACAAATAATTAAAACTTTGTTAATTGTTTGATAGTGTAAGAAATACCATCTTCATTGTTTTTCATAGTTAATTGATATTTTGATTATGTAATTGTCAATGCTTAGTATGCCATTTCACATTAATATATAGTACAAAATGTCAGAAATACAGTTAGAACAACTTCAGCAATTGCTGGGAAGTCTTGTCCTAATCTGAAGCCAAAATTCGCTTAGTGATTTTTCATGAAACCTAGGCCAGCAACTCAAACAGATATTTTGAAAAATCAAGCATTCTGGATATGATTGATAATTAACCTTTTTGTCCATTTTGAGATTGCAATTCAATGACAACGTTCTCCTGACCCTTTCCTTCCTCCAAAAGGGAACCATATACCCCTCCCTGCTCTCCTTCATAACCCCTTTTTTTATCAATTGTTATTATATCTATATATGTATTTGTATACATATATTCCCAAGTATAATCTGCTGAGTCCATTTAATGTTATATATAGCATATATGCATACACATACATATATAACATACATACATACATATACATATATACATATGCTCTCCCCTAGGGAAGGCTACTTCTCCCACTCCCAGCTTTACTCAGCTGCCAATAGTTCTCTGTGTGCAGTTGAGGCCTCATAAGCGTTTCCTTGCCCAGCTTGACATGTTCATTGGTGTTCTCATCATTCACCTCACATATGGGTGGCCATGTTGTTGGAACTTGAGGAGTGTAGTTTCTATGTTATTAGGAGACACAATCTCACTGCAAAGTCCAGGAGCCTCTGGCTCTTATAATCTTCCTGTTCTGTCTTCTACAACGTTCTTTTAGGTGCAGGAAATATTTTTATATGTATTAACTGGGATTGGGCTCTACAATCATTGCTATTTGAGAAGTTAAACTAGCATAATCCTTAACAATCTATGACCATTTGCTCTTTTTTATTTTTAAAGATTTATTTATTTATTACATATACAGTGTTCTGCCTACATGCCAGAAGAGGGCACCAGATTGAATTGTAGATGGTTGTGAGCCACCATGTGGTTGCTGGGAATTGAACTCGGAACTTCTGGAAGAGCGTCAGTGCTCTTAACCTCTGTGCCATCTCTCCAGCCCTGACATTTGCTCTTATACTCACAGATAAGTGTAGTCTTCACCCCTCATCAAGGACACTTGTTTTTGTAACAATCAGAGACTAATATAGAAAAACTACAGTCAATCAATAGAAGGGTGAGGATTACTTTTATTCTACAGTAGCTTGCATAGCAGTGTTAGAATTATGAATGCTATCGAATAGGGATGAAGCTTCCAGGTCAGTACCAACTTGATGCCACATGTTCTGTGACTACAGTATTAGTGTCTTTAGCAATAGGATCTTACCATCAAGTTCTGGAGGACAACTAAGAACTATGGCAATATTCTGTGATGTTTGGGATTCAAGGGACCCCACTGACGAACAGCTCAAAAGAGATAAACCATCCCTGGCATTAGACTTTTCATTTGATTTTTAAAGACCTTTTGTGTTAGTTATTCTTGCCCATATGACCTCCTTGACTCTTGCCTTCCCATTTTCCACCCTACTCATTTATCTTGCTCCATTATTCCCAATTCCCTCTTTACACCACCTGTTTTCTATCCCCCTTCCCTTGAAAGCACTGCCCACACTATGCCCTCTTGCAAGTTTCCAGGCCTCTGTGGCTGTTCATTCCAATTTAAGCACATACATCTAAAAGTTCATCTACATATGAGAAAGAACATACAATGCTTGATTTTGTACCACCTGTAAGCAAGGGGCAGTGTTTACAGTTTCAATGCTTGGAAAGAAAAAAATCAAAGGGATTTTTATCACATATGAAATTTAAATTTCATTACCTTAGAAAGCTTTATTGGAATCCAGCTCCATTCACCTGTCTACTTTTTCTCTGTCTGTTGTGAGAGGCTCAGCCACAGACTTGAGGCACAGAGATTGTATGGTTCATGAAAATGGAATTATTGACTGTATCATTGTTTTGACCTCTCCTGGACTAAACAAGATTTCCTGAGATGCAAAATGTCACATGTCTGTGGGGGTCTTCAAATGTTCAAAGCCTAACATTTCTGGAACATGAGACAGAAAGGTCAAGATATAAGATATTCTCATTTGGCTCTTTGGTTCTAAACCTGTCTGGAAAAACAGATGGATTCTCACCTCTCCCTAAACCCTTTTCATACACTACAGTTTGGTTCTGCCACCAATTTCAACAATGAAAAAAAAAACATTACCTTCTTCTGTTGTGAAGGTGAGGTTCCCTCTTTGCTCCTATGTTCATCTTAATAATGGGTGGGATGAAACACCTACCAGTTCCACCACTTAAGAACATATATCCATGCATATCCTATATCAAATGGTGAATAATACCCCAAATCATCTCCCAAACCTGGAGTGGATAACAATCCACATTTCATAATGTTTTATGTCAGATATTGTGTGTGTGTGTGTGTGTGTGTGTGTGTATCTGTGTGTGCCTATGATTTTTTTCAACACTTAAAATTTCCTTTGTAAGCTTGGATTTTTTAAAATTTCATTTTCTTTTATAAAAACAAATGTCATCCCACAAGGGAGACAGCTCTTGTTATAAACACATGTATGGAGGACTGTAAAACTTAATGAAATTCACAACCGAACATTATAATAAAATGGCCTCGGGACAGAAACAATCTAATCAGCCTCCAGTGAGTCCCTGATGATCAGCTACAATTGTACACAGGTGGCTGAGGGCACAGGGCTGTTGGCGTCTTGCCTTACAACACACAGGGGATGTGTTGTTTTATGACCCAATTCTGCATGTTCTGTCTTGCTTTACTGTTGCATATTTTTTTCAAACCTTCCCTGGCAATGTAGCTGTGCAGAAATCATAGTCTGCAAATCCCCCTCATTAGGAGAACTTAGCAAATATTTTACTGCCTCAATAAGGACATATGTCTTTGCAAAGCAGCATCTAGATGAGGCAAGAACCAACCTTTGGGTTTTGTATCTTTGAA